TTAAAGAAATGATTTTTTGTCAAAAACATACTTAATGTGCACAAATAAGGAATAGTTGTATTAACCATACATGTAAACAGAATTTTATGGGGCCCCCAGGAATTTGGGGCCCTAGGCAACTGCATAGTATTGCCTAATGGTAAATCCGCCCCTGACTGCATGCAGACTGCATTTACGTTTGAGTTTTAAAATTTAAAAATTTTAAATATTAAACAGCTACCGTTTTATAACAGGAATACTAAATATAACCTATCAAAGGTTCCTGCTGAGAATGAGTTCATCTTAAAAACAAAAAGGGATCTAACAAGTCTGAATTTTTTTTCAAATGTCAAAAAGGATCTCTAATAATTAATTAAAACAACTGTTGTTTATTACATAAAATATGTGCAATCCATCATACACATTTTTTCTTTTCTTTCTCCCAATTCTTTCCCTGCAGCATGACTTCCTTCCCTTTCTTTGCTTCCTACCTTTTTTATCAAACATCTATTCATTCCTTTCTTACCAACTGTCTCTTTAAAAATGGAACCGTCCCATATAAAGAAAATTAATTATTTACATTCTTGATAGTATAAAGGTTCCTAATGTTTACATAATCATTTAACACGCACGATAAAAGACAAAAATAAATTCATAATGTTGGTAGGGTGGAAAACAAAGCCTGGAAAGGAGTATCCATTTTATAATTTTCACAGGGAAATCCTTATTTGACCCCTTTCATACATCTTTATACATCTTTTTTGTTTCCAACCATCAGGCAATCCTTCCTTCCATCGTTGCTCTCATTTTCTCTTCCTTCCTCCAATCGGTTAATTTCCCTTCCTTTATACCTTTCCATGCAGGTTCCATGTTTAAATACAGACAACTGTAGAGCATCTGCTATTTACACTGTGGACAAAACGATGACAGCGAATTACATTAATAGACACAGCTCGGTCTATGGACCCATTTAGATGCGGACCCCCTCCTCCAGGCCCAGCAGCCACGAACATCTGGCCTGGCTACAGAACCACCCTCCGTCGCAGAGAGCCAGGTGAATGACCTGCCTGCTAACAGCAACCATTTACCCACCTCTACTTGGAGTAAAAATACTAATTCCGACTAAAAGGGAACCGCGGTTTGAAATGAACAACGGTACCAACTCACCTCCGTCCGAAAAACTGTCGAATATCCGAAGAACGTTGATCCAAACGGCTGTCCTCCCAGAACTATTTCCACCCTTTTCCCCTCTCTGTTACCAGCCCCACGTCAAATACCGTAATGTCCATAAATAAGAGAATAAGTCGCTCTTCTTCGCTCCTTATCCCGGCTGAACTTTCACGAGAACGTCGACTGCGTTTTTTTTTTTCTGTTACAGTCGGAAAAAAACACACATTCGACACGAGACACACGAAGCAAAGAGAACTCGCCGCTGATTGGATAAGCGGAAAAGCGGAAATGTAACACGGTTTACCATTGGTGGAAATGTTAAAGGATAATTCCGCTTATTTGACAGCTCTTTTTTTTTTTTTCTCCCACCACTGGAGACTAAAATTACTTTACCGCATCGATTGGTATGCTTTCAGTAAAAGCCCACCAGGGAAATGTAATCAGAGTGAGGGATTTACTGGAGGGTTGAACTACCACGTTTAATTTAACCATCTTTTCATTAGCTACAGATTCCTGTTTGCTTTAAAGCTACCAAGGATATTGTTGAGGAATTAAAGGCCAAGTGTTACCAAAGCTGATGATAAAACTTAATAAACAGGACATTAGAGAACCACTGACGGTTTTAGAAAAGTAATGAGATGCATAAATAATTGATCAAGGGTGTCATTGGCAATGATAATAAAAGAGTGGGTTTTACTCAAACTCAATCCCAACAAGTATCCATCATGATATTTTACAGATTTACAACAGGCAACAGCCAGCATAACATTGTGTCAATAATGCATTAGCTCTGCTTTGATTGAATGCACTGAGTGAGTCAGGAATAGTTTCATACAGCTGGGGCTCTATGAGCTGCAGGGCATCTATTACACTAGACTAGTACATCCAGGTCTGTAAACTCTGAAAACTGTTTACACTGCTTTCCCATTACCTTTGACCTAAATCAAAACAAATAAATGAGGGGTTTTGCAGTTCAAGGTCCCATCATTGCAGCTGTGAACTCTACTGAGCCATTACTGGGCAAACTGCAATGATCACAAAATAATGTGAAGAGAGAAACAGGAAATTTAGTATCTGACACATTTCATAAAAAAAAAACTGTTAAGACAACTTCTGAAATGTCTTGTTTGTTAGTTTCAATATCTATTTTTTCCTCCAAAAACTTATAATGAATGGCGTTTAAAAATGAAATCTTTTTCATGAATTGTCACATTACACCCACAAACTTTAATGTATTTTACTTGGATATTATCGAAATATCCCAACTAAATTAACATCTGTTGGATAATATCTCACACTCCATGCATGAAGCTGTAGTAGAACTGGAATTTGTTTAGATCAAAGCAGGCTATGATAGTCCAATTAAAGCTTCTTAGAAAATTGATGTTCATGACCTTTGGAAAAAAGAATTGGCAACATTTTTAGTCTCTCAACATGCAATCCTTGTAGAGCAATACCTTAGAAGACACTCTGCTAGTATTTTACCAGGGATTGACTCAAGGGGGCTTACTAAATGCATGTCAACCTTTTCAGAGTAAATGAATTATAAATGACGTTTAATTTCTCTTCCAC